AAAGCAGTATGGAGGTGCATCAAAATGCTCAAAACAGACCTACCATTTGACCCAGGAATTCCACTCCTAGGAATTTACCCTAAGAACGCAGCAATCAAGTTTGAGAAAGACAGATGCACTCCTATGTTTATCGCAGCACTATTTACAATAGCCAAGAATTGGAAGCAACCTAAATGTCCATCTGTAGATGAATGGATAAAGAAGATGTGGTACATATACACAATGGAATACTACTCAGCCATAAGAAGTGGAAAAATCCAACCATTTGCAGCAACATGGATGGAGCTGGAGAGTATTATGCTCAGTGAAATAAGCCAAGCGGAGAAAGAGAAATACCAAATGATTTCACTCATCTGAGGAGTATAGGAACAAAGGAAAAACTGAAGGAACAAAACAGCAGCAGAATTACAGAACCCAAAAATGGACTAACAGGTACCAAAGGGAAAGGAACTGGGGAGGATGGGTGGGCAGGGAGGGATAAGGGGGGGGAAGAAGAAGGGGGGTATTAAGATTAGCATGCATGGGGGGGAGGGAGAAAGGGGAGGGTGGGCTGCACAACACAGAGAGGACAAGTAGTGACTCTACCACATTTTGCTAAGCTGATGGACAGTAACCGTAATGTGGTTGTTAGGGGGGACCTGATATAGGGGAGAGCATAGTAAACATAGTATTCTTCAGGTAAGTGTAGATTAAAAATTTAAAAAAAAAAAAGAAAGAAAGAAAGAAAAGGGGGATTACTCCTTAACAGGATAAAACTATTGGTAAATCAAAGATCAACGCATGCTTTAAATATCCTTAATGTTGATCACTTAAAGGGTGTCAGATGATCAGCTATGGAGGTACTCTTTTCTGATAATATTCCTTTCTCTTAATTAAAAAAAAAAAAAAAAAGCAGTTACTGTGTGCTGACCTCCAATGAGTTCTGCACAGTGGTATAGAGGGCATGTCAAAGTGTGGGCAAAGGGTCTGTTTGTTTCTACGCAGAAGATCAAGGCCTAGCTTGGATACCCAGAAAATGAACTAAGATACGATATGAGGAGGAGCTTCCGGCATCAGCACTCTCTGGAGGACTCGTGCCGGGGGATGATCATCAAAAAGCCTCCACAGGGATCCGGACGATGCTGCGGTTGTGGCTGCATCCAGCCCACCGTCTCCTGGACTTGCCATAAGAAGGAGGAGGGAGATGTCTAGGCTGGCATGTGCATACAGTGAGACAACGAATTTGACTGGATCTGTACTGTTGGAACTCAACCAGGAGTTGGGAGGGGTGCAAGTTGTAGCACCCCAAAATCTCATGACTATAGACTATCTATGGTTAAAAGAACATATGGGATGTGAACAGATCCCAGAAATGGGCTGCTTTAATTTGTCTGATGGTTCAAGTACAGTTGGACAATATCCATCATATCATAGATAAATTTTCACAAATGCCTAGGGTGCCTAAATGGTTTTCTTGGCTTCACTGGAGATGGCTGGTAATTATAGATTTGCTTTGTTTATGTCACCGTATTCCTATTATGTTAATATGTGTGTGCAAATTAGTTAGTAGTTTAAAACCTATACATACTTAAGGTACTATACAAGAAGATATGTCAAAGAAATAATCAATCCTCCCAAGTTTCCTTCATATGCTACATCTATAGCTTTTCTTCTTCCTTCCTAATTACAAACCTTAAATAGAATTCGTGCCTCATATCGAATTTACCGAGTATCATAATTCCTCCAGGTGGTAAAGATACCTCGAGACAAGTGCTGGGCATAGAAGCCACAGGGCATAAATCTGCAAAGAAGTAAAAAGCTAACCTTTGCAAACAATATGGCTTCTCTCTCACTTACCAACTTTACATTTCCCTGTATGGCCCCGGAAGATGACTGGTTAGCCAGAGACGGGTAAGATTCCTCAAGGGAGGAACAACCTAAGACAGGCACAGTCGCAGGGGGGCCATCAGGTGAGAATTTGGGGATCAACAGAGGTGAGGCTCAGAACCTCACCCCCCCTGCTTTGAGAGAAATCTTCTGCATCCGTGGATGTCTTGCTGCCCTTGTCTAGCCTGGATTAATACTTAGTCCATAGGCACACACCTGATCATCTGATCATCTACATTTGCCCTCTTACAGCACTAAACTATGTTTTCTACCTTTATCTTGCATCTACCTACCACTTCAGCATTTTATTAAAAATAAAAATAATAATAATAATAAAGGGAGAAATGTGGGATCAACATATAAATCAAGTATAAAAATCAAATGAATATTCATATTTGACCTGATTGTTTTAGTTCATAATGCGTGATCAAAACTGAAAGTTTCTGTGATGAATGCCCTTGTACTCTTCATCATGTAAGAATTTATTCACTATGTAAGAATTCGTTCACCACATAAGGACTTGCTTGTTATGCTTCAGAAGATTGGAGACTGACAAGAATTAGGCTTGAGATGGATTAATGATTGTACAATGAGCATTGACCCCCCCTATACTGAATTTTATTGTTGTTAACAACCATTTGATCAATAAATATGAGAGATGCCCTCTCAAAAAATAAAAAATAAAAAAATAACTGGTGCCTAAAAAAGTACTGATTTACTTGGTTGATAGTTATAGATTATTCACTCTATAATCTGACCCTTGGTAGAGACAAGATCTATCCTAAGGGATTATTTATTTAATAAATCTGTTATATTTAATAGTACAATGTTGATTTAAGTTTTGAGAATTATCTTTATGAATGTTAAATTAATTGATTAGCTGTATTCCACATTGTTACAGTCCTTTAACTTTGTGAAAATGATTATAAAATAGACTTTTTAGGGAGTGCCGTTGCTAGTAATTGATTTCAAAATGTATAGTTCCATCACACTCCTGAACATCTTGGCAACAATAGTTAATGTTTTTCAGGAATTTGTATTTCACCTTGATTGGCCATCTGTTCTTGGTTGTACAACTTTTGTGGCTAAAAGGATGGCTTACTGGTTTATTGGATTTATAGACTGTACTACCAAACTCAGTTTGATCTATGCATAAGGCAAAGCATGATCATTTCTTCAATTTTTGCACCTTTCTATTGTTCTTGCTATGTTGTGACTTTTTCATGCCACCATTTTGTTAGAAAATATTTTAAGCATTTGCTTGGAAAAAGTACTATCATACCTAAGAAGCCAAGTGTATTCATGCCCAGTCAATTACTACGTAATCTTCATGGGGCATACCCTCCTCTGTTTGTTTAGAAAAGCTTTGGATTAGTAACTCATAGCATTTGTCATTTACCACCCAACAAGTTTTCTCCTACTTCTGTTGGGTCCAGATCTTGGCCTTTGTAATTCTAGTGCTGCCTCCTTGGGCTGTGTCATGAGGCAGCTGAGAGCATCAACTTGTCTTCAACAGAAGCAGCAGAAGCCAGTGTTGTGGAGTGCCTTTCACATGTGTGCTGTGAAATATATACCCATGAGGAAATTGAGATTCAGCTTTTCAACACTGAGTATGATGTTAGCTGTGGGTTCATCATATAAGGCCTTTCTTATGTTGAGGTATATTTCCTCTTTACCCAGTTTGTTGAGTTTCATCATGAATGGATGTTGAATTTTGTCAAATGCTTTTTCTGCATGTACTGAGATGTTCACATGGTTTTTATCCTTCCTTTTGTTAATGTGGTGTATCATGTTGATTGGTTTGCTAATATTGAACCATCCTTGCATTCCTGAAATAAATCCCACTTGATCGTAGTGAATGATCCTTTCAGTGTATTTTTCAGTTTGCTTTGCTGATATTTTGTTGAGTAGGTACAACAGTGTTGAATCCCTCACATTTCCTAGTTTCTGGAGTCAAGACACAATTTTAAATCAACTGCAGTGTCCAGGTTTCCTCAGTAAAGTATTCCTTGTAGATGAACAAACTGGGATGTTTGGTTGTTCTGTTGCTTTTTTATATTCTTATTTTTGTTTATGACCTCTTAGGCATTCATGATTAAAAGCCAAATACACAAGCTTTATTTAATAGCTAGTAGTATGTCAATACTTAAAAATGAACATGAGCATTTGGTGCTGATTTTCCAGATTTGGAATCCAGAGGCCTTTTCCCACAGTTCTGGCAGAGTGATGGGAAGTGAAGGTGAATTGGGAACCTCGGCTTGACCTGTGTCCTCGGGATCCTGGGGGTCCGAGAACTCTGTGGTGAAAGGGAAATACATTCCCACACAATCATTTCTGTTCTTAGTCTAGCAGCATTCTTTTTTTTTTTTTTTTTTTTGAGAGGGCATCTCTCATATTTATTGATCAAATAGTCTAGCAGCATTCTTTATTGAATGCTGCCTATCATCCAGATGCCACACAGGGGTCCTGCACCCTGCATGCAGGGAGGTCCGTCAGGGAAAAGGGTGGTCAGAGAGCTGAGGAGCAGACCGCTCACTCTGCGGGTAGGACTGGCTGCGAGGATCTCCAGTTGGGAGCTGCGGGGAAATGGGACAGGGAGCCTCTAGGACAGATCACCTTCACCACCTTCCCCTGCAACTGGCCCTTCCATCCTGCTTTGCCCCTCCCTGTGCTGTCCCAGCCATGCTAGAACAGGCCCCTCAACCCTCCCTCATGAGCTTCTTCAGTGCTGAGTAAGTGGTGGGTCTGCTAGGTAAATAATCTGGCAACTGTAATGACTGTTTGGTGGCAAAATTATCTCACAGGTCTTCTTACCGCACATTTTCACTGCAATCTCTTGCTTTCCCTCTTCACAAAAGTAAAAGAATTGTGTTACGACACCAAGTGAGCTATTATTTCAGTGAATTTAAGGTCTAGGTCTCAGCATCACTTCATGTGATCTCTGACTGTCAGGCATATTTGATGGACTGTTTTAGATGCAATGTAGTTTTACGTTTCTCCTAAAAATATCCATTTTTCTTTGGCCTGCAGTTGCTTTCACTCATTAAAATGTGTTATGTGTTATTTCATGTGTTAATAAAATGTGTTGGTTTCCTATGAACATGGTTGGTGACAGGCTTTTTTTTCCTTTCTAGCTATGAAAAACCTCCTCCTGGGCTTATCAAGGTCAGTGTGAATTTGTAGTTTCAGTTATTCTCTTAAGATGTTTGACTCAGTAAGTTGTGAAAACAGTCACATTGGGTTTTGAACCTCCCTTTAGGATAACCCTGTTTCTTCCCTGCAGATGCCAGTGGGTTCCTACACTTTGGGCTTTATCACAGCTTGTGCCTTTGTGCAAATGTTATCAGCCACATGTCTGTTCCCTCAGAGACGGTGGCAGACCCACAGGCATTGTCAGCAGCTCCCCTTCTCCCTCTCTCTCTCATGGCTGCATCTTCCCAAAGCTCCGCTGCCCCGTGTTCCTTCCCTGACACACCCACTGCTGGTTTGTTGCATGTCATCGGCTCAGAGAACAGCAGACTGAGGAGACTTGAAGTGCATCCAGTCCCACCTCCCCTGGTGTGGGCGGCCCTCCAGCAGGCCGGCCCCACCGCAGTGACCTTCTGCGAAGCCAGACATAGAGAATTAAAGGCCAGAGCAGGCCTCTCTATTTGTAACTTTTAATGAAGAAAGATTTTCAGAAAACAATCTTCCATTATAAATTCAATATTCATGGAAACTTTGAAAAAATCATAAAGTAAAAAAATAGCACCTTAATTGTATAATGCAGTACTAAGTGGTAAAAATACATTTCATAAGTACCGCATGTGTGAGACTATAAAACATAACATTGGCTTTCAAGATATAAAAATCCATTTTAACTTAAAATGTTGTTTTTTTCTAGGAAACCTGACTTGTTTAATTCTATACTTTGCCTCATTCCACAAAGCTTTTAAGTTAGCAGAGACTTTCTTTGACCTTAGAATCTAATTTTTATGATCTAGAATCAGAATTTGTAGCTCAGAAATCACTGCTGCATGAACAACACTAGTAACATTTCTCTAAGAACAGCTACATCATTTCTCTGATATGGTTCTTCTGATTTATTTGTTTAGTCTGATTTATTTATTATTTATTTATTTATTAGGCCAGGTCTAATTTGTCTTTTTTTCCAGTTCCTCAGAGAGTTATCAGGGATGACACTGGGATCTCCTGCCCATGAGAAAGCTGGGAATGCTGTGTCCTCAAGCAGGTGGGAGAGAATTCCAGGGCTTCTTTTTAACCATATGGTTTATATGTTGTTTGCTGTTTTAGGAAGATGAGACTAAGCCAGAAGACTGTATACCAGATGTGCCAGGCAATGAACATGCCAGGGAGTTTCTGGCTCATGCACCAACTATAGGCCTTTGGATGCCACTGGGGAAGGAAGTCAAAGTTATGCAGTGTGAGTATGGAAGAGTTTCAGGTAACTGGTAACACTCGCTGGCACACCCAAGTTACATACCACAATTTACACACCGTGCTTCTTTCTTTAATTAATTTGTTCACCACAGCCCTACTAAGTCATGATGACCTCTGTTTTGTAGATAAGGAAGCCAACTTCATGTGTCAGTGAGTAGTCTAAGGTAAGAGGTAGAGCAGAGCTTTGATCCAGGGCTTCTGACTAGATGTGCAGCAGTCTGGGCTTGCCAGTAATATTCCTGTAACAAAAAGGATATTCCAAAAAATAACTTAAACCTTTGTATTTTATCACCAAGACTATAGCATTATTTCTATATGAAATCACCATTCAGATCACAAATTATATATGGCATGTAGAATTCTAATTTATTGCAAAATTCAACTCTGTAGAATATTCTGTACTAACAATTACAGAGGCCATCTTAAAAAAAGAAAAAGGACATTTCATGATTGAAATGCCATAGGACAAGGGATGCATCGGAGGGCAGTTCCTTTGGGTCTTATCTTAGTCAGTCACCCTCCATCAGAGGTGTTAAAGTTGTATCCATAACCACAAAGGAGCCACAGGCCTCAGAGGTGGGTCTGGAGCAGGTAAGGTTCTGTGTGTACACTGTGTGCCCCACCAGTGCAGCAATACCTTCATCCAACATAAGATGGCATTTGAAGAAAGGGTACTGCTGCCTTTTAAAGACATTTGTTTGTACAAAGATACTTCCTTCATCACAATGGGACTTCCCACTCTCTTTTTCTCCCTTCCCATTTGAAGCTCTTTCAGTTAGTCATTTTGATGTTTATCTTCATGTGTTTAAAGATCACGCTTGTATTATATTGATTTTTCAGGTGTAGGCATTGTCTGTTGAAACTGCATAAGGAAAGATGAGAATTTAGCTCTCTCCTTCTCTCACCACATACATATACCCTTACCAAATCTTATCTTCCCAAGAATAGTTTTTTCATCCTTTTTGTTAGATAAATCTTTGGTATTTATTTTATTAGGATTATATTCAGAGCTGAGACTTATAGTAAACTGATTACTTTTCCTTTCATGCATCCTGAATAACAATCTCTTTTCCCCTGGAATTAACAGTTGTCTTGTTTTATGTATGTGTGGGTATGTTTCTTCTTCTTCTTCTTGTTTTTGGTTTCCATGTACTGATTTCTTATTCACCCCCAGATTGTTCCCAAGCTTAATCTTCAGACCTTCAAATGCTTGAAGTATTCTATCAGTTTCATCTTTCTAATAATGGTTGCTCCATGCTTATCATCCAGGGATCTGCCCTCACTATATGTCATCAATTGAATTTGTGTCCCCCTCAAATTCATATGTTAAGGCCTTAACGCCTAATGTAATGGCATTAGGAGATGGGGCCTTTGGGAGGTAATTAGGACTAGATTAAGTAATGAGGGTTGCTGTCATGATGTAATTAGTTTCTTTTAAGAAGAGATAGCAGAGAGCTTGCTCTCTCACTCCACTGTGTGAGGACATACCATGTGAGTACCTAGTTGTGTGTCAGCTTAGAAGAAACATCAGAATCAACCATGCTGGCACCCACATATTAGACCCCCCAGATAAGCAATCAAAATTAACCGTGCTGGCACTGTGAGAAAATGAATTTCTGTTGTTTCAACTACCTAGTTTATATTTTGTTATGGGAGCCCAAGCTGACTAAGAAATCATCATTCTGCACTTTCCCTAAGCTTCTTTCCTGTGTTGGATATCCAGTTTTTTTCTGTGTTAAGTCATTATCTTTGTTACTATATTCTCTTGTTATATGTGGGGTGATTTCTCCTGCACCTTCCTTTGAAATGGGTTTATAGGAGATAAATTTTTCAAGAACTTACTTTTCTGGAAACATCTTTTTTTTTTTTTTTACAGTTTTTTAATTTGCCAGGGTATGGAATGGTAGCTTAAAAATCACTTTCCTTGAGATTATCTTATATATTGAAAACCCTAAAGACTGTACAAAAACTATTGGGTGTAATAAATGAGTTTGGCAAAGTGGCAGGTACAATATCAACACAGAAAGTAGTTGCATTTCTATACACTGAAAATGAACATCTGAAAAGGAAATTACAAAAACAATTCCATTAACAGTAGCTTCAAAGAGAATAAAATGCTTAGGAATTAACCAAGGAAATGGAAGACTTATACAGTGAAAACTATAAAACATTGCCAAAACAAATTAAAGCCAAAATAAATAAATGGAAACAATCTCTTGTTCAGTGTGGAAGACTTAAGATTGTTAAGATGCCACTACAGTATGGGAGAATATATTTGTTAATGACATATCTGACGAGGGGTTAACATCCAAAATGTGTAAAGAACTGACATGCTTCAACAACCAAAAAGGAAATAACCCCATTAAAAAAATGGGTGGAGGATATGAACAGACAATTCTCCAAAGAAGTTCAGATGGCCATCAGGCACATGAAAAGATGCTCCCATCACTAATTATCAGGGAAATGCAAATTAAAACCATAATGAGGTACCACCTCACACCAGTTAGGATGGCCAGTATTGAAAAGTCTTAAGAACAAACGCTGGCGATAATGCAGAGAAAGGAGAACACTCCTACACTGCTGGGGAATGTAAGCTAGTTCAACCATTGTGGAAAGCAATATGGAGTTTCCTCAAAAAACTAAAAATAGAAATACCAATTTACCTGGGAATTCCACTCCTAGGAATTTACCCAAAGAATATAATTTCTCAGATTCAAAAAGACATATGCATGCCTATGTTTATTGCAGCACTGTTTACAATAGCCAAGATATGGAAGCAACCTTAAGTGTCCATCAGTAGATGAATGGATAAAGAAGATGTAGTACATATACACACTGTAATACTATTTAGCCATAAGAAAGAAACAAATCCTACCACTTGCAACAACATGGATGGATCTGGAGGATATTATGCTCAGTGAAATAAGCAAGGCGGAGAAAGACAAGTACCAAATGATTTCCCTCATTTGTGGAGTGTAACAACGAAGCAAAACTGAGGGAATAAAACAGCAACAGACTCAGAGACTCCAAGAAGGGACTAGTGGTTAGCAAAGGGGAGGAGTCAGGGAGGGTGATGGGCAGGGAGGGAGAGGGGATTCAGGAATATTATGATTGGCACACATGGTGGGGGGGATTATAGGGGAAGACAGTGTAGCACAGAGAAGGCAGATAGTGACTCCCTGGCATCTTACTATACTGATGGGCAGTGACTGCAGTGGGGTATGGGGGGAACACAATAATACGGGTGAATGTAGTAACCACATTGTTTTTTCATGTGAAACCTTCATAAGAGTATATATCAATAATACCTTAATAAAAAAAAATTGTTAAGATGCCAATGCTACTCAGTTATCTCCAGACTCAATACAATTACTATGAAAATCCCAAAGACATTTTTTTCAGAAATAGAAAATCCCATCCTAAAATTCATATGGAATCTCAAGGGCCCTGAGTAGCCCAAAGAGTCTTAAAAAAGAAGAACAAAGCTGGAGTATTCATACTTCCTGATTTAAAACTTACCACACAGCTACAGTAATCAAAACAATGTGGTACTGGCAAAAAGACTGATGTATAGGCCAAGAAATAAAGCCTCACTTATATGGTCAAATTATCTTTGACAAGAGTGCGAAGGCCATTAAATGGGGGAAAAGACTCTTTTCAACAAATTGTGCTGGTAAAACTGGATATACATATCCACAAGAATGAAATTGGACCCTTATCTAATGCCATACATAAAAATTAACTCAAGTGGATCAAAGACTTAAATGTTAACACCTAAAGTTATAAACCTCTTAGAAGAAAACATAGGGCAAAGCTGCACAAAATCAGATATGGCTGTGATTTCTTGGATAAAACATCAAAGGCACAGGCAACAAGAAAAAACAGACAAATTGACTTCATGAAAAATTAAACATTTTTTGAATAAATGACATTATCAACAGCATAAAAAGGCAATCTACAGAATGGGAGAAAATATTTTCATATTATGTATCTGATAAGGAATTATATCCAGAATATATAGAGAACTCCTGAAATTCAACAACAAAGAAACAACCTAATTAAAATTTGGCAAAGGACTTGAACATTTTTCCAAAGAAGATATACAGATGGCCATTAAGCCCATGAAAAGATACTTAACATTACTAATCATTAGGAAAATGCAGATCAAAATGACAATGAGATACCACCTCATACCCATTAGGATGGCTGTTAACAAAAAAAAGTGTTGGCAAGGATGTGGAAAATTGAAATGTTTGTGTACTGCTGGTGGGAATGTAAAACGGGATGCAAAAAGCTGTGGAAGAGAAGGATTAAAGATGTTGAATAGGAAGGCAAGACAGAAATCTTCTCCCCAAAACACATAAAATAGGAAAATACAGCAAATGCAATTAGACTGAAAATGACCTGAAAGCTGCAGAACAGACCCCTTATACCCAAGGAGGAAGAGAGGACCACACAGAAAAGGGTGAGGTGTCAAAGCCAAGATCAAGAGAGACCCAAGAACTCCCCTGGCCCCAGTCAACAGGGAGGAGAAAGAGGAATGGACTGGGGAGGGGGTAGGAGCCCAGGAGCACTGCACACCTGGCCCTGGAGATCTGCAGGAGCATGAGCCTATATTGCAGTGGGTACTCGTGATTATCAGGGCTGGACACCAGGGGCAGGTGGGACACTCTGGGAGGCTGAGACTCCAGCCAGTGTGGAGGACAGGCATGTTCTGCCAGTCCTGAGACCCAAAGCAGAGGTGACACTTGGGAAGACTTGTCAGTAGTTGGAGGGGTATCAGAGGGGATGAGGGTTGGATGGAATTCTGTCCTCAGGAGAAAGGGCAGGTGGAGGATATCTCCCCAGCCTTCCTTGACCCAACAGATTGGGAACCCCAGATGCTCCATTCCCCTTGCTGGCAACACAGCCCCGAGGCTCCTTTCTGTGCACACTCCTGATAGACAACCTGCTTGGCCCTGCACTAGCATCAGACTTGCTGCATGGCAGGCAAAGGGAGACTCTCTCAGCTTGCTTGGCTCCATTTCAGCCCAACTGGAGAGGAGCCTGGAGGAGCCAGCCCCAACAGCTCCTACCTCCATGCAGGTGTCCAACCCTGGTTCTGTGCTTCTGGCTGGGGCACGTTGGTCTGCCCACTCCATTAATCCTGCAGCCCCACCATTGCTACAGGCCAGTCAGAGGATGGCTCTGCCCACAGCAAGCTCAACAGAGATTCCTGAGCTGATCACAAAAGCAGCAGCTCAAGCAAACTGTCCCTTCAGGCTTAGACAACTGAGCCAGACACAAAGCAGCCCCACCCATGACATGCCAACAGCTGGGGCCCCCGCAAAATAGAACCAGGCACTAGAGAATAAAGTATCTCGAGCTTCTGGGCATCATAGCACATCTTCATAAAGCTATTACTCTTTAGACCAGAAAGCATAGCAGAGATATCTAATACAAAGGGAAAAATGCAGAATTTCTGAAAAAATGAGCAGGCAAAGAAATTTGATCGAAATAAAACTACAAAAAATAACCCCAGAGAGAGGGCTACATGAAAAAGAGATCCCCAATCTTCTTGATAAAGATTCAAAATAAAAGCCATAAACATTCTCACAGATTATAGAAAAGTAATCAAGACCTCAGGGAGGACTTCAACAAAGATAGAAAACCTGAGAAAGAGCCACTTATAGCTGAAGAATACAGTATCTGAAATGAAACATACAATGGAGGAATTTAAAAGTAGATTAGATCATAAAAGTGAAATAGAAATTAGAGCTATGAAAACAAAGAAGCTGAGTAGTAGAAAAAAGGATCTCTAGAAATCAAAGAATGATAAGAGCTGTGTGACCAATCCAAGTGAAACAATATTTGCATAATACAGTCACCAGAAGGAGAAGAGAATGACAAAGGGATAGAAAGTCTATTTAAGGAGATAATTGTTGAAAACATCCCCAGTCAGGAGAAGGAAACAGATACTCAGGTCATGGAAGTGCAGAGCTCCCCTAACAAAAGGAACCCCAGGAACACAACACCAAGGCACATAATAACTAAAATGGCAAAGATCAAGAATAAGGAGAGAGTTGAAAGCCTCCAGAGAGAGAGAAAAAAAGATTACTTATAAGGGAAATCCCATCAGGCTATCAGACTTCTCAACAGAAACTCTTAAAGCCAGAAGGGAGTGGCATGATATATTTAATGTCCTGAAACAGAAGAACCTCCAACCAAGAATCCTCTGCCAAGGCAAGATTATTTAAATTTGAAGCAGGTACTTAACAATTCCCAGATAAACAAAAGTTGAAGGGATTTGCCACCACTAAACCAGTTTTACATGATATGTTAAAGGAATTGCTATAGATGGAAATGACCCTAAGGCTAAATACGTTTCACCAGTAAAAAAAAATAACCCAGTAAAGATAGTAGACAAACTAATTACCAAGAAAGGACAAAATTAAAATGAAACAAAAGAAAAATCAACTATACACAAAATCAGTCAAGGGGGATACACAAAAAGTGCAGATTAATACATTCAATAAAAATGTGGAGGAGAAAGAAGAAAGATAAAAAAGTACCTTTAGATTGTGTTTGAAATAGAGTAATCAGTAATTTAATATAGACAATTATATAGTAAGGAAGCTATCCTTGAACTGTTGGTAACCACAAAACTAAAGCCTACAATAAAGACACACACACAAATTTAAAAAAGAAAGAAATCCAATTACAACACTAAGCAAAACCATCAATAACAAGAGTATAAGAGAGGGAGAAATGAAGAGAGAGGAGATATAAACAGCTAGAAAACAATTAATAAAATGGCAATAAGTACATATCTACCAATAATCACCTTAAATGTAAATGGACTGAATGCACCAATCAAAAGGCATAGAGTAGCAGAATGGATAAGGAAACTTCTATGTGCTATGGATGGATCTATAAGATCCATCTATATGCTGCCTGCAGGAGATTCACTTCAGACTCAAAAACATACACAGTGAAGGGATGAAAAAAAGATATTCCATGCAAATGATAGGGAGAAAAAATAAGGAGTAGCCATATTTTCCTAGAGAAGAAGGCTCCTCCTTGGAGAGTGAAGGCGGTGCTGTTAGTGTTGTGGGAGCTGATTTGATGAAAAAGGCAGGGAAATCTTGCCATCTGCTTTTTATTCATTCATGTAATCCTCTATATTTACTGTGTCTCCTTGCCTTCAAATGTATCTCATGTTTCTTTGGCCAGAGACTCTATGCTTCATCTTTTCTAGACAATAAACTTCCTTCTACATTGCCAGGGAGAGTTGCCCTTGGACTTATTACCAGTCCTCCTTATTTTAGCTCCTCCTTCAAACTATTTGCAGAGCTATCTGGTGCTGCCAATTCCTGAGCTTTTTGTAGGTTCTGCAAGAACAAATTGAATTGATTCTCAGTTCTCTCCTCTGGTGCCATAAAATTTGAGTTTTCTGGGTTGCTCTTCGTTTAGTATTAATTTATCTACATTACAACATCCAGTGTTTTTTTGGTTTTTTTTGTTTCTTAGGACTTTTACCTGTCTTTTGAGTTTGTGGCTTTTTGAAAAGAGATTTACTATAGTTTATGTATCATGAAATCCACCTAGTTCAAGTGTACAATACAGTGATCTTTATTAACTACTATGTGCAAACCATTACCATAAGGAAATTTTAGAACATTTTATCTGCCCATTAGGATCTTCATGACTGTTTCTGATCCCCATTTTCTACAACAGACCACCTTAATCTATTACCTTTATCAATTTGGCTTTTCTGGATATATCATGTAAATAGATTCATTCAGTTTGTGGTTCCTTGTATTTGATTTCTTTCTTTAATGCTTGTTTTCAATTAACTAACTAATTTTTCTTTTCTTGGGCTCCACTATTGTTTGGTCCTTTTTGAGGCATAATTGACATAATAATATTGTATTCATTTCAAGTGTACAGAGTAATGATTCAGTATTTATATATATTGTGAAATGATCACTACAAGAAGTGTAGTTAACATCTGTCACCATATAGGTCATACAATTTTTTAAGATCTACTCTCTTAGCAACTTTTAAATAAGCAGTACACTATTATTAACTATAGTCATCATGCTATACATTACATTGCCATGGCTTCTGTGCTTTTAGAATTGGATTTTAATGAAGAAAAATTTCAATATTAGCTACTGATTCTTCATCTTCATTAAATGAAACTGTATTATCTTATAGATATTTTCTTTTTTCTTTATTTTAGGTTGGCGTTGTAAACGGTATGGTCATTGAACAGGCGACAAAGAATGCCCTTTTTTAATCAAAGGCAACCAAAAGCTAGAACAGTTCAGAGTAGTAAAACCCCGCCATGTCAATTTACATTCATTAGAGGTAGTGAATACCAATGAGTCAGGTAATAAATAATTTCTCAGATTCAAAAAGACATATGCATGCCTATGTTTATTGCAGCACTGTTTACAATAGCCAAGATATGGAAGCAACCTTAAGTGTCCATCAGTAGATGAATGGATAAAGAAGATGTAGTACATATACACACTGTAATACTATTTAGCCATAAGAAAGAAACAAATCCTACCACTTGCAACAACATGGATGGATCTGGAGGATATTATGCTCAGTGAAATAAGCAAGGCGGAGAAAGACAAGTACCAAATGATTTCCCTCATTTGTGGAGTGTAACAACGAAGCAAAACTGAGGGAATAAAACAGCAACAGACTCAGAGACTCCAAGAAGGGACTAGTGGTTAGCAAAGGGGAGGAGTCAGGGAGGGTGATGGGCAGGGAGGGAGAGGGGATTCAGGAATATTATGATTGGCACACATGGTGGGGGGGATTATAGGGGAAGACAGTGTAGCACAGAGAAGGCAGATAGTGACTCCCTGGCATCTTACTATACTGATGGGCAGTGACTGCAGTGGGGTATGGGGGGAACACAATAATACGGGTGAATGTAGTAACCACATTGTTTTTTCATGTGAAACCTTCATAAGAGTATATATCAATAATACCTTAATAAAAAAAAATTGTTAAGATGCCAATGCTACTCAGTTATCTCCAGACTCAATACAATTACTATGAAAATCCCAAAGACATTTTTTTCAGAAATAGAAAATCCCATCCTAAAATTCATATGGAATCTCAAGGGCCCTGAGTAGCCCAAAGAGTCTTAAAAAAGAAGAACAAAGCTGGAGTATTCATACTTCCTGATTTAAAACTTACCACACAGCTACAGTAATCAAAACAATGTGGTACTGGCAAAAAGACTGATGTATAGGCCAAGAAATAAAGCCTCACTTATATGGTCAAATTATCTTTGACAAGAGTGCGAAGGCCATTAAATGGGGGAAAAGACTCTTTTCAACAAATTGTGCTGGTAAAACTGGATATACATATCCACAAGAATGAAATTGGACCCTTATCTAATGCCATACATAAAAATTAACTCAAGTGGATCAAAGACTTAAATGTTAACACCTAAAGTTATAAACCTCTTAGAAGAAAACATAGGGCAAAGCTGCACAAAATCAGATATGGCTGTGATTTCTTGGATAAAACATCAAAGGCACAGGCAACAAGAAAAAACAGACAAATTGACTTCATGAAAAATTAAACATTTTTTGAATAAATGACATTATCAACAGCATAAAAAGGCAATCTACAGAATGGGAGAAAATATTTTCATATTATGTATCTGATAAGGAATTATATCCAGAATATATAGAGAACTCCTGAAATTCAACAACAAAGAAACAACCTAATTAAAATTTGGCAAAGGACTTGAACATTTTTCCAAAGAAGATATACAGATGGCCATTAAGCCCATGAAAAGATACTTAACATTACTAATCATTAGGAAAATGCAGATCAAAATGACAATGAGATACCACCTCATACCCATTAGGATGGCTGTTAACAAAAAAAAGTGTTGGCAAGGATGTGGAAAATTGAAATGTTTGTGTACTGCTGGTGGGAATGTAAAACGGGATGCAAAAAGCTGTGGAAGAGAAGGATTAAAGATGTTGAATAGGAAGGCAAGACAGAAATCTTCTCCCCAAAACACATAAAATAGGAAAATACAGCAAATGCAATTAGACTGAAAATGACCTGAAAGCTGCAGAACAGACCCCTTATACCCAAGGAGGAAGAGAGGACCACACAGAAAAGGGTGAGGTGTCAAAGCCAAGATCAAGAGAGACCCAAGAACTCCCCTGGCCCCAGTCAACAGGGAGGAGAAAGAGGAATGGACTGGGGAGGGGGTAGGAGCCCAGGAGCACTGCACACCTGGCCCTGGAGATCTGCAGGAGCATGAGCCTATATTGCAGTGGGTACTCGTGATTATCAGGGCTGGACACCAGGGGCAGGTGGGACACTCTGGGAGGCTGAGACTCCAGCCAGTGTGGAGGACAGGCATGTTCTGCCAGTCCTGAGACCCAAAGCAGAGGTGACACTTGGGAAGACTTGTCAGTAGTTGGAGGGGTATCAGAGGGGATGAGGGTTGGATGGAATTCTGTCCTCAGGAGAAAGGGCAGGTGGAGGATATCTCCCCAGCCTTCCTTGACCCAACAGATTGGGAACCCCAGATGCTCCATTCCCCTTGCTGGCAACACAGCCCCGAGGCTCCTTTCTGTGCACACTCCTGATAGACAACCTGCTTGGCCCTGCACTAGCATCAGACTTGCTGCATGGCAGGCAAAGGGAGACTCTCTCAGCTTGCTTGGCTCCATTTCAGCCCAACTGGAGAGGAGCCTGGAGGAGCCAGCCCCAACAGCTCCTACCTCCATGCAGGTGTCCAACCCTGGTTCTGTGCTTCTGGCTGGGGCACGTTGGTCTGCCCACTCCATTAATCCTGCAGCCCCACCATTGCTACAGGCCAGTCAGAGGATGGCTCTGCCCACAGCAAGCTCAACAGAGATTCCTGAGCTGATCACAAAAGCAGCAGCTCAAGCAAACTGTCCCTTCAGGCTTAGACAACTGAGCCAGACACAAAGCAGCCCCACCCATGACATGCCAACAGCTGGGGCCCCCGCAAAATAGAACCAGGCACTAGAGAATAAAGTATCTCGAGCTTCTGGGCATCATAGCACATCTTCATAAAGCTATTACTCTTTAGACCAGAAAGCATAGCAGAGATATCTAATACAAAGGGAAAAATGCAGAATTTCTGAAAAAATGAGCAGGCAAAGAAATTTGATCGAAATAAAACTACAAAAAATAACCCCAGAGAGAGGGCTACATGAAAAAGAGATCCCCAATCTTCTTGATAAAGATTCAAAATAAAAGCCATAAACATTCTCACAGATTATAGAAAAGTAATCAAGACCTCAGGGAGGACTTCAACAAAGATAGAAAACCTGAGAAAGAGCCACTTATAGCTGAAGAATACAGTATCTGAAATGAAACATACAATGGAGGAATTTAAAAGTAGATTAGATCATAAAAGTGAAATAGAAATTAGAGCTATGAAAACAAAGAAGCTGAGTAGTAGAAAAAAGGATCTCTAGAAATCAAAGAATGATAAGAGCTGTGTGACCAATCCAAGTGAAACAATATTTGCATAATACAGTCACCAGAAGGAGAAGAGAATGACAAAGGGATAGAAAGTCTATTTAAGGAGATAATTGTTGAAAACATCCCCAGTCAGGAGAAGGAAACAGATACTCAGGTCATGGAAGTGCAGAGCTCCCCTAACAAAAGGAACCCCAGGAACACAACACCAAGGCACATAATAACTAAAATGGCAAAGATCAAGAATAAGGAGAGAGTTGAAAGCCTCCAGAGAGAGAGAAAAAAAGATTACTTATAAGGGAAATCCCATCAGGCTATCAGACTTCTCAACAGAAACTCTTAAAGCCAGAAGGGAGTGGCATGATATATTTAATGTCCTGAAACAGAAGAACCTCCAACCAAGAATCCTCTGCCAAGGCAAGATTATTTAAATTTGAAGCAGGTACTTAACAATTCCCAGATAAACAAAAGTTGAAGGGATTTGCCACCACTAAACCAGTTTTACATGATATGTTAAAGGAATTGCTATAGATGGAAATGACCCTAAGGCTAAATACGTTTCACCAGTAAAAAAAAATAACCCAGTAAAGATAGTAGACAAACTAATTACCAAGAAAGGACAAAATTAAAATGAAACAAAAGAAAAATCAACTATACACAAAATCAGTCAAGGGGGATACACAAAAAGTGCAGATTAATACATTCAATAAAAATGTGGAGGAGAAAGAAGAAAGATAAAAAAGTACCTTTAGATTGTGTTTGAAATAGAGTAATCAGTAATTTAATATAGACAATTATATAGTAAGGAAGCTATCCTTGAACTGTTGGTAACCACAAAACTAAAGCCTACAATAAAGACACACACACAAATTTAAAAAAGAAAGAAATCCAATTACAACACTAAGCAAAACCATCAATAACAAGAGTATAAGAGAGGGAGAAATGAAGAGAGAGGAGATATAAACAGCTAGAAAACAATTAATAAAATGGCAATAAGTACATATCTACCAATAATCACCTTAAATGTAAATGGACTGAATGCACCAATCAAAAGGCATAGAGTAGCAGAATGGATAAGGAAACTTCTATGTGCTATGGATGGATCTATAAGATCCATCTATATGCTGCCTGCAGGAGATTCACTTCAGACTCAAAAACATACACAGTGAAGGGATGAAAAAAAGATATTCCATGCAAATGATAGGGAGAAAAAATAAGGAGTAGCCATATTTTCCTAGAGAAGAAGGCTCCTCCTTGGAGAGTGAAGGCGGTGCTGTTAGTGTTGTGGGAGCTGATTTGATGAAAAAGGCAGGGAAATCTTGCCATCTGCTTTTTATTCATTCATGTAATCCTCTATATTTACTGTGTCTCCTTGCCTTCAAATGTATCTCATGTTTCTTTGGCCAGAGACTCTATGCTTCATCTTTTCTAGACAATAAACTTCCTTCTACATTGCCAGGGAGAGTTGCCCTTGGACTTATTACCAGTCCTCCTTATTTTAGCTCCTCCTTCAAACTATTTGCAGAGCTATCTGGTGCTGCCAATTCCTGAGCTTTTTGTAGGTTCTGCAAGAACAAATTGAATTGATTCTCAGTTCTCTCCTCTGGTGCCATAAAATTTGAGTTTTCTGGGTTGCTCTTCGTTTAGTATTAATTTATCTACATTACAACATCCAGTGTTTTTTTGGTTTTTTTTGTTTCTTAGGACTTTTACCTGTCTTTTGAGTTTGTGGCTTTTTGAAAAGAGATTTACTATAGTTTATGTATCATGAAATCCACCTAGTTCAAGTGTACAATACAGTGATCTTTATTAACTACTATGTGCAAACCATTACCATAAGGAAATTTTAGAACATTTTATCTGCCCATTAGGATCTTCATGACTGTTTCTGATCCCCATTTTCTACAACAGACCACCTTAATCTATTACCTTTATCAATTTGGCTTTTCTGGATATATCATGTAAATAGATTCATTCAGTTTGTGGTTCCTTGTATTTGATTTCTTTCTTTAATGCTTGTTTTCAATTAACTAACTAATTTTTCTTTTCTTGGGCTCCACTATTGTTTGGTCCTTTTTGAGGCATAATTGACATAATAATATTGTATTCATTTCAAGTGTACAGAGTAATGATTCAGTATTTATATATATTGTGAAATGATCACTACAAGAAGTGTAGTTAACATCTGTCACCATATAGGTCATACAATTTTTTAAGATCTACTCTCTTAGCAACTTTTAAATAAGCAGTACACTATTATTAACTATAGTCATCATGCTATACATTACATTGCCATGGCTTCTGTGCTTTTAGAATTGGATTTTAATGAAGAAAAATTTCAATATTAGCTACTGATTCTTCATCTTCATTAAATGAAACTGTATTATCTTATAGATATTTCCTTTTTTCTTTATTTTAGGTTGGCGTTGTAAACGGTATGGTCATTGAACAGGCGACAAAGAATGCCCTTTTTTAATCAAAGGCAACCAAAAGCTAGAACAGTTCAGAGTAGTAAAACCCCGCCATGTCAATTTACATTCATTAGAGGTAGTGAATACCAATGAGTCAGGTAATAATCAGTGAAATGGAAGTTCACATGAAAACATGCCCAGGAGCCTTTGGGCCAAAATATATGGTATTAGCTACATCTTTGTTAAATTACTTTTGCATGACATATTAGTTCTTTAACAAAAAACTAACTTCTTATTATAGTGCTATTTGCTTATATCTTGGTAATAGTGGTTCTTTTTCTGAAGCAGATGTTTATTCAATCACTTTAAGATAGCATGTTTCATAACTAAAGTCAGGTTTTTAGTTTCCCAGTCTTTATCTAAGATTAGATGCCTTTAAATCATAAGCTAGGAATGTGTATATAAATTATGTGCTCTTTAGATGACAGTAAAATAGATCATTTCGTCACTTTAACAGTCACTCCTAGAAGTGTTTATTTACAATTCAGTAACTGCTTCTGCCAAGTGAAACAGGCTGCTGTCTGCATATACTGAGGTTATCCACGTATATCAAACCATGGTCAATAGACATTCTCTAGAGTTGTTAAGACATTTAAAGTACTGTTTTCATTTTAATAATTAGAAATAACTTATGTGGGATCAATCATTCCACTTCTAGATGGAATGTCAATTTTTAGATACTATAGAACAGGTGAAAAAGCTGAAAAACTTTAAACCTACTAATTTTTTTTGACTCAGAAATGTAAGAATTTAAGGATATAAGAAAACATCAATATACGTATAACTGTTTTTGTATGTATAAGGATAGGTTTCATAATTATGATTGAAAAAATGGAAACTAAAGAAAAATCAACTTAATAGTCTAACATATCAACAACTTTCTGTATCAGAAATTAGTCATTAGTAGTGTTTTATAAGAATGCAATGCGATGGGAAAATGTTAACCCACACAAAGAAAAACCTATGGTTATTGACTTCAGAGGTCCCCCCAATTGATTGGACTAGAAAGATCACCCAACGTTTTTGAAAACGTAAGTGGAAAGCAGAATTGTATATACTATATGATTATAATTCTTCCTAGTTTATGAATAATGATTGAAAGAAACCAAAATGTTAATAGTAATTATCCCCAGATAGTGCAGTAATATATATATATTTTTTAATTTTTGGTAACATCTAAAATTTCTATGGTAAACATTTATTCTTTTTATAAATTGAGATAATTCACATACCATAACATTTCCCCTATATATATTCTTATTTTTAAGTAATTCAAGTCATTTAAAATTATATACAATTCCATTATACTTCCAGACTTTGGGGTACTTAACATATATTCTGTGTATCTGTAAATGTTTCATTCTTATGTATCATTGTAATTCACTTGGTCATTTATCCACATAGAACAGAGAATTAGCTCTATTTTTCTACCTTGAATAGTATTGAATGATTGTGCCATGGTTGATTTTGTTACAAAGAATATTTAAATTACATGTATTTTTCTAATTGGAAAATCCTTTTCATAGCCTCAGTGAGTTTGCAGTGATGATCTTTAGGTGACTCTTAGGAAGGATTTGGGCATGTTGAACAAAAAAAATACCAAACAGGGAAAAAACTGGTTTTAGTAATATAGGAATTTAATTTTTAAATAACAGTCCACGAAGCCTAATCCAACCTTAACCTTTTCTCACCCTCAAGGCACATGAAGATCCCATGTATGACATCATACAAGAGAATAAAAGACATGAAAAGGATGTAAGGTGAGATTGTCCTGTTAACAATACCCTCATAAGGTTTTAAATTATATTAAGTTGAAAACAATCATTCCAGTATTAGAGGAACAGGTTATTAAATGTGGTACTTTAATTAATTATGAAATATTTGTAGAGCAGAAGTAATCACTGAAAAGACCAGTGGCAGGAATGAGCAGGCTAGCCTTGTTCTACTTGGGGTAGCTTAAAGCAGTGGGCTTGGCCCAGCCTGCTCACACCACTGACAATTGTTGGCAGTCCGCATTTTGGTGTCTTCTACTACTAAACAATTGATTCTCTTTTGTATGAGTTAGTTTATCTTCTCCAATGTCTTTAAGGATCTGAGCTATTATTAAAAATTATTCTGAAATATGAATAAAGATAGGGTGAAAAAATGGGGTTTTTCTCAAACTGGTGGTATTGAGTTATAATTGTTGAGGAGGTAGATTATCTACTATGAACTTGAGGGGGGATATGATTCAGGAAAGTATGCATCTGTTAGAAGTTAAAACTAAGGAATTACCATTTGCAACAACATGGATGTAGCTAGAGGATATTATGCTCAGTGAAATAAGCCAGGTGGAGAAAGACAAATACCAAATGATTTCACTCATATGTGTAGTATAAGAACAAAGAAAAACTGAAGGAACAAAACAGCAGCAGAATCACAGAACCCAAGAATGGACTGACAGTTACCAAAGGGAAAGGGACTAGGGAGAATGGGAAGGAAGGGGAGGAAAAGGGCGGGGAAAAAGAAAGAGGGTATTAAGATTAGCATGTATAATGTGGGCTGGTGGGGGGGGCACGGGGAGGGCTTTGCAACACAGAGAAGACAAGTAATGATTCTACAACATCTTACTACACTGATGGACAGTGACTGATGGGGTTTGTGGGGGGGGACTTGGTGAAGGGGGGACCCTAGTAAACAGAATGTTCTTCATGTAAAAAAAACAAAACAAAACTGTAAGGATTGCAGAAATACACAAACATTTAGCACAATGAAAAGAGCACAAAATGGCTTGTACCCTGGTTACAGTCATGTAAAGTGGGCGTGGATGTGGACAAGAATCAGGGAAACATGCACAAGTAAAAACAAGTATTGTCTTCAAGAAGGTGGTTATTCGTGGCATTTTTTACCTTCACTACTGCTTTTATATATTTTTATCTGGAATTTTTTTTCATTTAAATATGATTCTTTGGTCATTCTCACATGTTTAGGATACAACAGTTAAAACAGTTACTGGAGGATTCTACCTCAGATGAAGATGCGAGCAGCTCCAGTTCCTCAGAATGCAAAGAGAAACTTAAAAAGAAGAAGAAAGAAAAGCAAAAGAAAAGGAAGAAAGAAAAGAAAAAGAAGAAAAAACGGAAGCATAAGTCTTGCAAGTCAAATGAGAGTTCGGACTCAGACTGGTAGGACTTGACTTGTGTGGCATTCTCATCTCAGCAATCAAACACTGTGGCCAAAGAGCAGAGGCATGGGGGTCGGAGAAGAAAAGGAGGGATGCGCTGAGGACCTTTGGTGTCGGCCTGTGAGCTCTCACGTCTTCCAGCACAGATTTGACCCACAGGGGAGGGAGGGATCCTCCCAGGTGCCGGCTGTGCACAGGGGCTGATTTCAGGCAGGAGCGCCTTCGTCAGTGTCCTCCTCCCTGCTCATCTGCAGCTTGTGATTCCTTTGGAACAGCGCTGCCAAGGGTGGCTGGACAAAGGGAGTCTCTGGGGAGTTCCAGGCGCTGCCACAGCCATCACCCTCCTGACAGGCGGCTTGACTTCACTCCCAGACTTCAGCTTGGCCTTTTCTCTGTGGTTGAAGGTAATAAAAGCTCCTTATTTAAAAACGTTCATTTATTTTTTAATCATAATGTACTTACATGGTCCAAATTTAAAAGGCGTATGAGGTTTAATCATGAAAAACATTCCTCCTATCTCCTCTGCCCTCAGCTATTGTTCCCTTCCCCAGTAGTAACATTACCAGTTACTCGTGAACTCATCCAGAAATATCTTATATATCACAAGCAAATGTTTTTTCTCTTCTTAACACAAATGCTAGCATACTTTACATATGTATCTGCAGTTTTTTTCATTTTTTAACTCAACAGTATAAAGCTTGCTGGGCCTTGCTGCACACAGAAGGCCTGTGTTCAAAAACCCCTGGCATGATTGGTTGGGTTTTTGGGCGGGCGTGTGCTAGCCTGTAATAATGAAAAATCATGTACTTAACTTGCTTATTAGATCTTACTTCTATTGCCCCATGATCATTACTGTTCCCAGAAGCATTCAGAAAAATTAAGGAGTCAGGTACCCATGTCCAAAATACATCCTCATCCTGTTGGCTAAGCACAGCCCACCTGAGAACTTCCAGCTTTGAATGTGCTGCAGCTGATGCATCTCAGCAGGTCTGGGTACCTGCAGCTCAAAAGTATCTTTTTTTTACAGCAGCTTTAGGTTCACAGAAGCAAGCACAAAGAACAGAAGTTTCCTATATATCCTCTCCCTCCTCCTTACCATCCTATCAACACAATGGCACACTTGTTAAAACTGATACCCTACCTGGCCCTGGTTCCCAGTGGTTTCTACTCCAGTAAGTTGTGACTTTACATCTTCCTTTCTCTCCAGTTTTTGAGTCAGCAGGTTGCCCTGGGACAATTCTCCAACAGATAAAAGATTTGATCATTTTTTAGTTTGTTCAGCTTGTTAGGGCAGAGTGAAAACTTTTAACCTCCTTACATATGACACCAGGAATTGAAGTCAGTTGGTATTGTCTTAAGCCACTACATTTGTGGTAATTATCCACTGTCCATGTCTGGAAGCTTCCTGTGGGCTGAGGCCATCCATCTTCTTTCCTGTTGGATTCTCACCTAACACAGTGAGTCACACATAGTGGTGTTCAATGCAATTTATTAAAAGTATGGTTACATTTTCCTGTTGGAACATGATTTGAAAGTTATAGAGGATGCTATATTGTGTCACTTTATATCTGGCTCCTAACCCCAAACCCTGACTTCAAGACTTAAGTATTTATTTCCTCAGCTGCTGGGATGGTTAACAGCTGACAGCTTGCAACTATCTTCCCCTTTCCAGAGATTGTTCTTGAAGAGAGCTGTATGATCCAGTCATGCCTCCTTCCTAGGGGCATCCTGCATCACAGTAACTGGTCAGTGCAGAGGTATAAAGTGTGGCCTCTTGTCCCAACTGAGACAGCTTTGTAGGGCCATTGCAGCTCAGGAACTGTCAGTGGGATTGGTTAAGGTCTTTTGTGTGACTGCATCACACCCAAGCTTCTCCCTGTGCTTAATCATGCTTTGTTTGCCCCCCTTGAAATGTTACTTCCCAAAGCACTCCCTGTTAAATTTTTCATACACAGGTCATCTCAGAGCCTGGTCCTAAGAAACTCAAAACTGTTAACGGGTACATTAGCCACTTGGGAAAATGAAAGGGTGTGTTGTCAAGAATTACCCTTCCTTTTGGACTCCATTTTCCAAATGTATGCTTGACTTGTTATGTAGCCTTTAGGATAAAGGTGAGACTTTGGAAATTACTACAAAACAGTAATGTATTCACTGGTATCCTTTTTGTTTCCCCTATCTTCCCCATCTGCTAGGCTCCAACATGTTCCTACTAGCCAGAGCACCCCACTTATAGTTGATTTAAGTACCTTAACACTTCAAACTCCCATTTCACGAGTGTCAAAAAAGCAATCAGATTCAACTCATACTAACACACTATAAGTCACTCTCTCTAACCCTTTCTTAGGAATGTATAGGTGGACAAATCAGACCGTTGGAACTTCTGGCAGGGAGTAAGTCAAAGCTATGGCATGCCTTGGTTCTATTAAAAAACAAGTGAGTTGGGTCATCTGAAATCAAGACATCACTAATCTTCAGTTACTCCAGCCAAGCATTCCTAACTGAGCCTTCCCGCTTTAGTGTTCTGCTGGTGTTGGAATGAAGGAGTGAACGATGACCACAAGGCCAAATCTGTTAATCTAATGGACACTAAGCCATTCTTTGTGCCCAAATCTATAGTCTCCCAGGGCAATAATGCACTGGATACTGCAATCCACGGCCCCGAGGAATATGTGGTCTATTTGAGAAGGGTACATTGCAAGTCTCATGTTATGTCAAGAAATGGTCTATGCAAGTGAAAACACAGGTGATACTACAACACATAAAAGTCACCCTTGGGTGGGGATAGGAGCTAATGATGTTTTCCTGGAGTACATAAATCACATGTTTAAGTAGCAGTTAGGCAAAGTCATAGACATTCTTATAAAGACCAGCTTTGGAAACTCCCATCCTTTGCTTGCCTTTTTGCATCTGCATCTTATCTGTAAAAAGCAATACCACTTTTTACCTAATCTCAGTCCATTTGACAGTTACTTAATTACTATAATTAAAATTAAAAATTTAAGACATTTTCATCACACAGTAACTAGAGGCAACACTGAGTACACCCATTCATTTTTATCAAAATACCCTCCATATTCTCACCCAGACAGCTCTTCACATGGGCACCTTTATCCTCATCCACATCTGTGCTCTTCTGTTAGCCTTTGAACTGCCTTCACTCTCACTCAGACATTCTGACACCAAGTCATACTCAGCCTGTATCATTTATTGGGAGATTTGTTCCACAAATTGAAAATGCAGTTGTAGGTTTGAGCATAAAGACTGTTTCCCTAGGTCACCTTTGTTTCTAAGAGGGTACAATGGTTAGAACAGGATACTACACCTCACCCCAGTCATTCCATCAGTGGAGTTGCACTGCATGGTCTCCATAAAAAAAAGTATAGGGGAGGATTAAAGATGGTGGTGTGAGAGGTGAGACAGAGGCATCCTCCTAAAACAGAATATAATATGAAAACATAATTAATACAACTAATCCTGAAAGAGCAACATGAAAGAGGGCTGCGCCAGACTGCATACACCCAGACAAAAGAATAAGCCTCATGGAACAGGGCACCATCACCAGTCCCCTGCGACCCCCAACAACGCTCCAGGGGCTGAGCAGCTCCAGAGAGTAGAGCTTCTGGGCACTAGAAGGCACCACATACAAATATGAAATGTTCAAGGAACCTGAAAAATATTTTAAGAACTCGGGAATGAATTCTGGTCAGAGATCCAACCGTTATGGAACACAGTATCACAAATGAAACATACAATGGAAGATTTTTTAAAAGGTTAGATATAGTGGAGGAAATAATAAATGAAATAGAAATTAGAGAAGAGGAATACAAAGAGCAGAGGCACAGAGAGAAAAAAGGATCTCTAAGAATGAAAGAATATTGAGAGAACTCTGTAACCAATCCAAACAGAACAATATTCACATTATAGGGGTACCAGAAGAAGAGAGAAAAAGGGATTGGAAGTGCCTTTCAGGAGGTAATTGCCAAAAACTTCCCCAATCTGGGTAAGGAGATAGTCTCTTAGGCCATGGAGGTTCACAGATCTCCCAACACAAGGGACCCAAGGAAGATAACACCAAGACATACAGTGATTAAAATGGCAAAGATCAAGGATAAAGACACGATTAAAAGCAGCCAGAGAGAAAAATAAGATCACATACAAAGGAAAGCCCATCACGACTATCATCAGACCTCAGCAGAAACCTTACAGGCCAGAAGGGAGTGGCATGATGTATTTAGTGCAATGAAGCAGAGGGGCCTTGAACCAAGATTACTTTATCCTGCAAGATTATCATTTAAATTTGAAGAAGGGATTAAACAATTTATACATGAGCAAAAGCTGAGAGATTTACCTCCCACAAACCATCTTACAGTGTATTTTGGAGGGACTGCTATAGATTGAAGTGTTCCTAAGGTTTAATAGCTGTCACCAGAGGTAATAAAACCACAGTAAAGGAAGTAGAACAGTTAATTACTAAGCAAATGTAAATGAAATCAGCTATCCCCAAAGTCAATCAAGGGATAGACAGAGTACAGAATATGATACCTAATATATAAAGAATGGAGGAGAAAGAAAAAGGAGGAGAAAAAAAGAACCTTTAGATTGTATTTGTAATAGCATAGTAAGTGAGTTAAGTTAAACTCTTAGTAAGGAAGTTAGCCTTAAACATTTAGTAACCACGAATCTAAAGCCTGCAAAGGGAGTAAGTATATACCTATTAACAATCACCCTAAATATAAATGGTCTGAATAAACCAATCAAAGGACACGGGGTCACTGAATGGATTAAAAACAAGACCCATCTATATGCTGCCTGCAAGAGACTCACTTTAAACCGAAAGACATACACAGTCTAAAAGCAAAGGAATGGAAAAAGATATTTCATGTAACTAATAGGGAGAAAAAAGGAGAAGTTGCAGTGCTTGTATCAGACAAAATAGAATTCAAAACAAAATAACAAGAGATAAAGAAGCACATTACATAATGATAAAGGGCTCAGTCCAACAAGAGGATATAACCATTGTAAATATGCAGCCAACAAAGGAGTACCTACGTATGTGAAACAAATACTAACAGAATTAAAAGGGGAAATAGAATACAATGCATTCATTCTAGGAGACTTCAATACTCCACTCACTCCAAAGGACAGATCAACCAGACAGAAAATAAGGAGACAGAGGCACTGAACAACACATTAGAACAGATGGACCTAACAGACATCTACAGAACTCTACACCCAAAAGCAGCAAGATACACATTCTTCTCATGTACACATGGCACATTTTCAAGAATAGATCATATACTAGCCACAAAAAGAGCCTCAATAAATTCAAAAAGATTGAAATTGTACCAACCAGTTTCTCAGACCACAAAGGTATGAAACTACAAATATGACATAAAGAAAATGAAAAACCCCACAAACACATGGAGACTTCACAACATGTTCCTAAATAACCAATGGATCAATGACTAAATAAAAACAGAGATCAAGCAATATATGGAGACCAATGGCAACAATAATTCAACACCACAAAATCTTTGGGACACAGCGAAGGCCGTGCTAAGTGGAAAGTATATTGCAGTACAGGCCTACCTCAGGAAATAACAATCCCATATGAACAGTCTAAACTCAGAATTAACGAAACTAGAAAAAGAAGAACAAATGAGGCCCAAAGTCAGTAGGAGAGACATCATAAAGATCAGAGCATAAATAAATAAAATTGGGAAGAATAAAACAATAGAAAGAATCAATGAAAGCAAGAGCTGTTTCTTTGAGAAAATAAACAATAGATAAACCCTAGCCAGACTTATCAAAAGAAAAGTCTACTCTAATAAACAAAATAAAAAATGAGAAACGAAAAATCACTATAGACACCACAGAAATACAAAGAATTATTAGAGAATATTATGAAAAATTATATATTAACAAATGGGATAACCTAGAAGAAACGGACAACTTTCTAGAAAAATACAACCTTCCAAGTCTGACCCAACAGAAACACAATCTGAACAGACCAATTACCAGCAAACGAAGTTGATCTGGTAATCAAAAACCTACCTAACAAAACTCCTGGACCAGGTGGCTTCACTGCTGAATTTTATCAAACATTTAGTTTGATACCCATCCATCCTCCTTAAAGTTTTCCAAAAAGTGGAAGAGGGAATACTCCCAAACTCATTCTATGAGGCCAGCATCACTCTAATACCAAAACCAGGCAAAGACACCATGAAAAAAATAAAATTACAGGTCAATATCCCTGATGAACATAGATGCAAAAATACTCAGCAAAATGTTAGCAAACCGAATTAAAAAACACATCATTTACATCAAAAAGATCATCCATCATTATCAAGTAGGATTTATTCCAGGGATGCAAGGATGGTACAACATTCAAAAATCCATCAACATCCACATCAACAAAAAGAACAACAAAAACCACATGATCATCTACATAGATCAAAAGCATTTGACAAAATTCAACATCCATTCATGATAAAAACTCTCAACAAAATGGGTATAGAGGGCAAGTACCTCAACATAATAAAGGTCATATATACCAAAACCACAGGCAACATTATACTTCACAGCAAGAAGCTGAAAGCTTTTTCTTTAAGATCAGGAGCAAGGACGCCCACTCTCCCCACATCTATTCAACATAGTACTGGAGGTCCTAGCCATGGCAATCAGATCACACAAAGAAATAAAAAGCAGACAGACTGGCAAGTAAGAAGTCAAACTGTCCCTGTTTGCAGATGACATGATATTGTACAAAAAATCCCTAAAGAATCCACTCCAAAATTACTAGATCTAATATCTGAATTCAGCAAAGTTGCAGGATACAAACTTAATACACAGAAATCTGTTGCATTCCTATACACTAACAAAGAACTAGCAGAGAAAGAAATCAGGAAAACAATTCCATTCACAATTGCATCAAAAAGAATAAAATACCTAGGAATAAAAGGAAGTGAAAGACCTATACTCTGAAAACTACAAGACATTCATGAGAGAAATAAAAGAAGATACCAATAAATGGAAATACATCCTGTGATCATGGATAGGAAGAATTAATACTGTTAAAATGGCCATCCTGTCTAAAGCAATCTATAGATTCAATGCAATTCCTATCAAAATACCAACAGCATTCTTCAATAAACTAGAGCAAATAGTTCTAAAATTTATATGGAACCACAAAAGACCCCGAATAGCCAAAGCAATCCTGACAAAGAAAAAGCTGGGGGGATTACATTCCCCAACTTCAAGCTCTACTAGAAAGCCACAGTAATCAAGACAATTTGGTACTGGCACAAGAACAGAAGCATAGACCAATGGAGCAGGCTAGAGAGCCCAGATATAAACCCAAACATATATGGTCAATTAATATATGACAAAGGAGCCATGGACATACAATGGGGAAATGACATCCTCTTCAACAACTGGTGTTGGCAAAACTGGACAGCTACATGCAAGAGAATGAAACTGGATTATTGTTTAACCCCATACACAAAAGTAAACTCAAAATGGATCAAAGTCGTGAAACCATGACACTCTTAGAAGACAACATAGGCAAAAATCTAAATATAAACATGAGCGACTTCTTCCTGAATGCATCTCCTCAAGCAAGGGAAACAAAAGCAAAAAAGAACACATGGAACTACATCAAACTAAAAAGCTTCTGTACGGCAAAGGACACCATCAACAGAAAAAAAAGGCATCCTACAGTATGGGAGAATACATTTGTAAACAACATATCCAACAAGGGGTTAACATCCAAAATATATAAAGAACTCACACACCTCAACACCCTAAAAGCAAATAACCCAATTAAAAAATGGACAGAGGATATGAACAGACAATTCTCCAAAGAAATTCAGATGGCAAACAGGCACATGAAAAGATGCTCCACATCACTAATCATCAGGGAAATGCAAATTAAAACCACAATGAGATATCACCTCACACCAGTTAGGATGGCCAGCATCAAAAAGACTAAGAACAACAAATGCTGGCAAGGATGCGGAGAAAGGGGAACCCTCCTACGCTGCTGATGGGAATGTTAGCTGCTAGTTCAACCATTGTAGAAAGCAATAGGGAGGTTCCTCAAAAAACTAAAAATAGAAATACTATTTGACCCCGGAATCCCACTCCTTGGAATTTACCCAAAGAATAGAAGTTCTCAGATTGAAAAAGACATATGCACCCCTATGTTCATTGCAGCACTATGTACAATAGCCAAGATATGGAAGCAACCTAAGTGTCCCATCAGTAGATGAATGGATAAAGAAGAGGTGGTACATATACACACTGTAATACTATTCAGCCATGAGAAAGAAACAAATCCTACCATTTGCAACAACATGGATGGATCTGGAGGATATTATGCTCAGTGAAAAAAGCCAGGCAGAGAAAGAAAAGTGCCAAATGATTTCCCTCATTTGTGGAGTATAACAACGAAGCAGAACTGAAGGAACAAAACAGCAGAAGACTCACAGACTCTAAGAAGAGACTAGTGGTTACCAAAGGGGAGGGGTGTGGGAGGGCTGGTTGGGAGGGAGGGAGAAGGGGATTGATGGGTATTATGTTTAGTACACATGGTGTGAGGGATCACAGGGAAACAGTGTAGCACAGAGAAGGTACATAGTGGATCTGTGGCATCTTACTACACTGATGGACAGTGACTACAATGGAGTATGGGTAGGGACTTAATAAAAAATATGGCTTAATGTAGTAACCACATTGTTTTTTCATGTGAAACCTTCATAAGAGTGTGTATCAATAATACCTTAATTAAAAATTAAGCAGAAAAAAAGTATAGGGGAGTCCATGCTTATGGGGAATCCTTAATTAATTCTGTCTTCAGTCTACCACCTTTCCCCCTTGCCTAATGTTCCTTGGAGCTTAGAAGACACAGACATACATGGCAGAAACGTTCATGAATGACCCAGAACTACTGGTGTTATCACTGATATGACCATCTTGGGAGGGGGAGAAAATAGTTAAGAGTCACATACATATGCAACTAACTTTATTGTTTTACTTTAGAACTTACAATTCCAAAGGCTTTACAATGTCATTTTTTAAACTTAACTTTTGGTATCATAACTTTATTAGTTCAACAAGAGATCATAACATTCTAATCCATCACGATGATGCAATATTCATCTCTTCTTGATAGCTGGAATTCAGCAATGCTTCCTATGAAATAACAATGAAAAACATTTCCTTAAAATGATACATGGAGAAACATACCAATATCTTATCTTTAGGATATAAAGCTAAATGTTTTGACATTTAGCTTGAGCTTGGTTATCAGTCTTTATGATCAGTCCAGAGCAGGAAAGGCCTTTAAATGGCCATCAAACTGGAGATGCCTAACACCCAAGACATGCTGGATGTACAGCAGAGATACTCAATGCCTAGACAAGGTGTGGAAGGAAGCCTGCCCTGCTCCTCACCCTGGAGTGAGGGATATACTACACTTCCAGTACCCAGCTCTAACCTGGGACACATGAGGTCAGAGTGAAGCCTCCTGTATACCTTACAAAATCCCATATAACCCATAATGTACTGTCATTAACAGCATGGGGAATTCCATGTGAAAAACCAGCATAAAAATAGTGTCCCAAGAATGAAAGGCTTGGCTCCGATCTATTTGTAAGCTATGATCTATGGATGGATGTCTATGACCTGGTTAGAATGCTACCATTTTTATCGCCCACAGCAGTGCTAGCTGAGGGCAGAAGAGGCAGCCAGTACGAAACCCCCAAAGTAAATCCTAAGAGCAAATCACATCAAAACAACAGTTAAATACCAACCTCTGTGCCTGCTGAGTATTTCCAAAGCTTTACTGCTCCCAGTCTCTTTGCTTACTTGTTACTTTGTAAGGTGCCTTGGTTTTCGATCTCTCACAGTTACCTGAGGGAAGATGCATTTCATACATTAAATAAGCAGTTGCTTAAAACTCAAAGGGAGAAACACACCAAAAACAAATTGTACAGAAATTACCTACTTTAAGATACCATTCTATACCATTCCACAGCTCTTAGCAGTAGAAAAGATACCATTTGGCAAAAATAATAATGCACACAATGCAGATAAGAGAACCTTCAGTCTGGAAATTAAGATCTTCATTGTGTAATTACAGTATTAGAGTTGAGGGAGGGGAATAAAGACCAATGTTATTTCCCAAGATAGAAAAAATTATTCATATCCACTATGACGGGAAATGACAGCAGAAGCAGTAAGACTTGAGAACAATAAAGGTGGCCAGTGTTCAAATCTAACTAGTAACTTCACAGTGTTAGTCATTGTGAACTAGGGCTTACACATCTGGAATGCTCCCATCCGTTATGGAGTTTCCACAAAGACTCCCCTTAGACCATGAGGTCTAAGCAGTGCCCCAGAACATTCACTCCTACCTTCTCCACAAGCAGCAACAAACCAAACCAAAGATAAAAACACTGCTCGTATCACAACATCAGCCTACTTTAAAAAACCCTTTCCAAATCAGAGTATGAACCAAAATCATGACATCTAACAGCCAAGAGTTGAGACTTGACAATACCCTGGTTTTTAAGTAGAAGGGACAGACTTAAGTATTTCTTCAATCTGAAGAGTCTGGGGCTAAGACTGGAACTTGATTACACTTCCCTGGGGCCCTCATGCTTCCCATTCCTCACTTACCTGCTTTACTTCACTTTGCACCCACATATAATCTTCCTCCAAGCTCTACTTTGGGCCTGTCCCCTCCTGTAAGCCCCCCTCTCCCTAAGCAAAGGCTGTCCAAACTCCAGCTTCACCCAGGTGTGCATGACCTGCTAGCCCAGTGCCTCACCTCACTATTTCACACCCCTCCCACCCACAACTACAGAGTGAAACAAAACAACTTCCTTACCCGAGCTAGCTCTTCTCCATGGATGTCAGCATTTCCTCTACTCACTCAACTTCAAATCCCAGCATTTTATTTTTTTCCTAAGAATCAAATGGCAATCCTCTCAGATGTCCATGTCTCTTACTCCCATCTGAGTTAGGAGCCCCATTATCCACTGCTGAGTCAACTGGTTTTTGGCCATGCAGGTGCCCTGCATTCTCACCTCCCCTACAGAGCACTGCCAGTTAAGATTCCCACAGCCCATTGCTTCCTGCCATTGGTCTACTCAGTGTGGATCGGCTTCTACTGCCTACAGGACTTTTCCCCCGTTCTGCTTAGCATCTCTTTTATCCCACTCATCAGGAGTCTCCCTGCTCACAGGATGATCTCAGGCTGAATGGCCGACACACTGACCTGCCCTGGATGCCCATCTGAGCTCATGCTTCTGTCCATTTCCACTGTAAACCACAACTCCTAAATCTGTATCAAAATCTACTGCCTCCACATGAACTGCCCATTCTCAGCAACTCTAGCTAGATCTATTTCCATCTCTCCTTTTCTATCTCAACCCCAGTTCTCCTTTACCACCATCACCCTGCTTTCAGTCATCTGCTAGAGCTCTCAGTGAGTGTAACTTCCTAGGGTGCAAGAACTTAAGATTATCTCTGCAAATCCTACAAATATGGGGACCCATAGCTGAAATGAGAACACATCTCCAAAATGGAGAAATGCTACTGATTCACAGCTACCTCTGTGCCCAGGACCCCAAATTCACCTACCAGATAGGAAATGAGCCCATTAGTCACTTACACTGCACTGGTCCACAGGAGGCTCTCCTGGACTCCAAGCCCTCCCGTTTGGCCACGGTACATTCCATTCGCAGCCTGCCACAGTTGATCTCACAGCCATCCGGTCCCGTCGCCTTGCAGACCACAGGGATGCTCCCATAGTGGCCATGCTTTGCCTTGTACTCATTTCCGGTGGGCCAGACGGGAAGCTGGGGGACAGAGCTCTCTGGCGGCATTCTGCTTATCCTACCAGCCTTGCCATAAAACTTTCCTCTGGAAGATGTCAGAGGGCTATCTGGGCTAGCTTCAAGGAGGCACTCTACCTCATCCATTTCATCTTCACCTCCCTCTTCCAACTCACCATCCTCTGAATCCTTGGGAAGTACGGTGTTCAGGGCAGCATTTTTCTTCAACACATCAACTGCCCTACCATTTGAGAAGCTGCTCAGGGCTTGGAGTTCCCTGCCTTTCAGAACCTTTTTAACTTTTGCACTCTTTTTGAAGCTTTCATTATAAACCTCTGCAGTCTCATCTGTGTTGACTTTCCTATTCCTGACTGACTTTTCCCTTGACCCCTTCATCTTGCAGCCTGCTGAGGACTCTTCATCTGCAGAGAGCATCTGCTCAGAGGACTTCTCTAGCTCTGCATCATGCTGTGAGCTCAATTCACATTGAATCCCTTCATCAACCTTGTTGAACTGGGCCGACCAAGTAGGAGAGGGTCCACACGACTCGGGGTAGCTTTTCCTCTCTACCACTTCATCACCAACCAGTTCCCTACTCCTGACTGACCTCCCAGAACCCTTTCTTCTACAGTATGGCAATGGCCCTTCACCTATGAGGGCAGTTTCCTTAAGATTCGCCAAGACGTCCTCACCCTGGCACAAGCTTATATTGCACATGATGCCCACATCTACACAGCTGGGTGGGGCCGACATGGTAGGGGAAGGGACACACATCTCAGAGTAGCTGTCACTCTCCACCACTTCATATTCATCCAGGTCCCTACTCCCGCCTGACTCCACTCTTCCCTTCTCACTACTTCTTGCTGATGACCCCGGGGACCTCTGCTCCATTCCATGGCAGCAGCACCGACAACACTGGATTCCTTCATGAGTCCTGTTCACCTGGGTTGACCAGGCAGGAGAGAGAGCACACCCGTCAGTGCAGCTGTCACTCTCCAGCACTTCATATTCATCCAGGTCCCTACTCACACCTGACTCCTCTGTTCCCTTCCCACTACTTTCTGGTGATGACCCCGGGGACTTCTGTTCCATTCCATGGCAGCAGCACCGACAACACTGGATTCCTTCATGAACCCTGTTCACCTGGGCTAACCAGGCAGAAGAGAGAGCACCCCAGTCAATGCGGCTGTCACCCTCCAGCACTTCATATTCATCCAGGTCCCTACTCCCGCCTGACTCCTCTGTTCCCTTCCCACTACTTTCTGGTGATGACCCCGGGGACCTCTGCTCCATTCCATGGCAGCAGCACCTACCACACTGGATTCCTTCACGAACCCTGTTCACCTGGGTTGACCAGGCAGGAGAGAGAGCACACCCGTCAGTGCAGCTGTCACCCTCCAGCACTTCATATTCATCCAGGTCCCTACTCCCACCTGATTCCTCTGTTCCCTTCCCACTACTTTCTGGTGATGACCCTGGGGACCTCTGCTCCATTCCATGGCAGCAGCACCTACCACACTGGATTCCTTCACGAACCCTGTTCACCTGGGTTGACCAGGCAGGAGAGAGAGCACACCCGTCAGTGCAGCTGTCACCCTCCAGCACTTCATATTCATCCAGGTCCCTACTCCCACCTGATTCCTCTGTTCCCTTCCCACTACTTTCTGGTGATGACCCTGGGGACCTCTGCTCCATTCCATGGCAGCAGCACCTACCACACTGGATTCCTTCACGAACCCTGTTCACCTGGGTTGACCAGGCAGGAGAGAGAGCACACCCGTCAGTGCAGCTGTCACTCTCCAGCACTTCATATTCATCCAGGTCCCTACTACCGCCTGACTCCTCTGTTCCCTTCCCACTACTTTCTGGTGATGACCCCGGGGACCTCTGCTCCATTCCATGGCAGCAGCACCGACAACACTGGATTCCTTCATGAACCCTGTTCGTCTGGGGTGACCTGGGAGGCGAGTAAGTGCACATCTCAGGGTAGCTGTCACTCAGCATCACTTGATATATATCCAGATCTCTACTCCCCCCTGAATCCACTGTTCCCTTCCGACTTTCTGGTGACGACCCCAAGGACTTCTGCTCCATTTCATGCCACCAGCTCCTATCACACTGGATTCCTTCACCAATCTTGTTGAACTGGGCTGACCAGGCAGCGGGGGAGACACACACCTCTGGGTAGCTATTACTCTCTACCACTTCATCAACCACTTTCCAAAGGGAGCCAAGATCCCCACTACATGTTCCCATTCTTCCCTCAACATAATGGGGGGTCTGGCATTTGGAGTGTAGGCTCAAGTCCTTAACTCCTTCGTTGCTGGAGCAGAATGGCTTTTCCTGCTGGTACTGGCCGCCACCTCCAGCAGACTGGGACGTGTTTGAGTTCACGGTCTTATGGATCTGACTTCTGTCTTTAACTTCACCTGGAGACGACAGGACCTGTCCTGCTTTATTCAAGTTCATGTCCATGAGTGATCCTGCCTTTAACATCTCACATCTTACAAGGCACTGCTCCAACTGACCAGCTCTGTGGTCATCTTTATGTGCAATGCCCTCGTCAGCCTCACGAGGGTTATCGAGCACATCACCACCTTCACAAGAACTCTGTGAAATCCCACTGTGCTGCTCCCCGTTCTCTGGCATGCTTTTACCGTAAGCCAGGTCATACAAACGCACAGTTTCTTTCAAACTCTTCCAGAATTGTATGACGGGGGATCCTTTGCCCTCTTCCATCCTCATTTTCTCTCCCTCAGACGCACAGCTTCTTTGAGGTGCACTTCCCTGCAGACTTTCATCCCCAGGGCTCTTACCATGGAGCTCCCTCTTCTGGGCAACACAAGACAAGGCCCCCCGTGTTTCTTCAGGAATGTTGTCAGTTTCTCTGTCAGTGTTAGTACTAGGGACACTGGCCACCCTACCTATGTCATGGCCATCGCCTTCGGAGTGGTTGTCTTGTTTTTCATTCATGTTTTTAGACTTCTGACATTCAGTTTGACTTATTTTCTTTTCTTTTCCACAGCCATTATAGTGCTGGAAATGTGGTGTGTTATAAAACACAGGTCCTCTCTTAACTGTAGACAACAGGGACTGAGGTATGAGAAAGCCAGGATATTCGCTGAGCATCACTGCATATGGAAAATACACACTTCCATATCTGACACCTAAAAAGAGAATGTAGTGGTTAGCTGTTTCGTATACTGTAGCCAGTTACAACATTCAGCCAGGAAACACCCATATGGACACATCAATTTTTGAAATATTGAGTTTTTCCCTGCCGGTTGTTTACTAATGGCTCCCAGTTCCTCCCTGGGTATACCCAGGATGCAACAATGAAGGGTGAAGGAGCAAATACAGGAACAGCAGGGCCTCCCAAACCCTTCCTCAGTACTAGATAGGCATCTGCTCTGACTAGGTGGGTCCCAGGCCATCAATTACTCCACATGTAACAGTCATTGGTACTTAGTGACTCCTTTACAAGAGATCAAGTACACACTTGAGTTCATGGACTGTCATGGCTGCAGAAAGAACACTGCATGTCAGGCTTTACAAAGCAAGGGGAAAAAATGTTCTGTAGATTTAAAAGCCTTTCTAAATCTACTTGTTCAGCACTGTTCAGTCACATACACATATATGTTTCTTCCCCCATTTCCATTCCTCGGGGATGAACACCACAGTGATGTCAATCATGCCACACATTTCTCTCTCACAAGTACTTTTTTGGGAAAGGCATTTGATTTTGCAAGACAGATCTGTACAATTAGCACATCAAATTAAGATAAAACTTCTATTCTAGTATACACTAGAAGCATTAGTTATACTCAGTGTTCATGAGGCAATTTAATCAGGAGGGTGAGGTAGATCTTAGGAACTCAACTGCACTGCTGTGGAATGTATCAAAGTGCCTCCTGTACCTGGCATGTGTAGTAATACATGTGTACAATCATAAGGGTTCTTCCCTTCACTGAAAGGAGGCATATCTGAGCTTGGAGTTAAACACTGTTTTAAGAGGTTAGAAACCAACACAATGAAGTTGAGGTAGGACAGAGACAGATCACTTCCCCAGTAAAGCCACACCATACAGTCAATTGTGTAAGAGTAGAACAGAATACTTAGTAGCAGGTGCCTGCCACTAGATCACCTCAGGACCACTATCCACTCACCCACTGCAAAATCATGGGTGTTAAATTTGTTAGTTTTACTCTAGTCCCCCTCAGCAAAATCTGTCCGCTCTTATGTCTTCTCTCTTCAGTTACCAATGCAAAGGACTTGAGTCCTCTCTCAAGCTTTTCCCTACTAGTTAAGTTTCTTGACTTCTCTGACATCACGGGTCTGTAATCCATACTATTTGGATCTCTGACCCAACTTGAATGCTCACTGCATGTACAGTATCTGAATGGCTTATTATGGCCTGTCAGGAAATGGGGAATAATGACATGTTCCTTAGGATGGGACAAAGGCCCTCTATTGGGTCTCTCACTGTAAATCATCTAATTACTCTCCCACTAATACCAAAGACACAAACTAGACATGGGTGCTTCGCTGGGTCCAACTTCTTTTCTTCCCTTTTCTGGGTCACCTTCCCAACCCCTTCCAAGTGGTACAAATCTAATTCACTTTTTCAAAGAAAATCCTACCATTTGTGATAACAGCTGAACCTTGAGGGCATTTTGCCAGAAGAAATCACTTGGACAGAGAAAGACAAATGTGATATAATCTCATTTTTATGTAAAATCTAGAAAACATGAACTCAGAAAACAGTAGAATGGCAGCTGCCAGGGATTAGATGGTGGGAAAAATGGGAGATGTTGGCCAATGGCAAGAAAACCTAGCTCAGCCATTTTCTCACAGTAATTGTAGGAGAAAAATCCCCTATGCTTCCCTCAGTGAGAGGGGCAAAGGAGCCAGTGTGACATATACCAGAACTGTTCTTTACAAGGCCAGACCTAAGACACCAGTTAACCAGAGCCCAGCTGATCTGGGGAAAAGGGAAATACTTTTCTCCAGCTGACTATTCACCCTTTCCAATCCAATGGGAGGGGAGAAGTAAAGCATGTGCAGTTCACAGTTCAAAGGCATAATTTCACTAAAAGACTGACTTAATTAGATTCCTTTGACAACCATAGGACTATGATCCCTTCCCACCTCCACTGCATTACTACACACCACATTACTCAAGTCCTGTTTAGATCCATTCCTTTTATCCATCACATAATGCCTGACATTACAAGGTACACTAAAAAGCTAACTGTTGCATCCAAAACACACTTACTTTCAGTATAAACACCAGGATTAGAAGGAAAGAGAGAAAGATGTACCATGCCAACACTAATTAATAAATGGTTCTGGAACTGGACATCCACATGCAAAATAATCAACTTAGGCAGATTTTATACGCTTTGCAAAAATCAACTCAAAATGGACCAGAGATCTAAACATAAAATGCAAAACTGTACAATTCCTAGAAGATAACACAAGGTAAAACTTGATGACCTTGGGTATAGGGATGACTTTTTAGATATAACACCAGTAGCACAATCCATGTAAAAACTGATAAGCTGCACTTCATTAAAATAAACTCTGCCAAAGACACTGTCAAGTGAATGAAAAGACAAGCCCCTGGGAGAAAAATATTTGTACAAGACATACCTAACAAAGGACAAAGGACTATTATCCAAAATACAGGCATATCTCAGAGAGATTGCAGGTTGGGTTTTAGACCACCACCATGGATACACTTCATGTATCACAAGAAAGTGAGTTCAATGAATTTTTTGGTGTTTCAACACATATAAAAGTTATGTTTACACTATAGTCTTTTAAGCGTGTGATATCATTGTCTAACAATATACATTTCCTAATTAAAATGTTTTACTGCTAAAACACTCTACACATCTGAGCTTTCACTGAGCTGAAATCACTGATCACAGATCACTGTAACAAATATAATAATGCAAAAGTATGAAAATTACAAGAATTATCAAAATGTGAGAGGGACATAAAATGAACAAATAATGTTGGAAAAATGACAGACCTGCTGAACGCAGGTTTGACAAACCTTCAATTTGTGAAAACACGATTTCTGCAAAGTTCAGTAAAATAAAGTATGCCTATATACAAAGAACCCTTAGTATGTTAAGAAAATAACCTGACTTTACAATGTGACTGCAGATCTTAATAAACACCTCACCAGAGAAGATGCACAGATAGAAAATAAACATGTGAAAAGATGTTCCACATCATGTCATCAAGAAATAATGGTACAGCTCCTTTGGAAGACAGTCTGGCCCTCTTACAAAGCTAAACATAGAATATTACCAAAACATCTCAGGTATCCTTCAGAAGGCAAGAGAGCATATGAAATGTTATACATTCAGCAGTAAATGGAAACATATTGTTAAATTATGAAAACACATGAGGGAATGAACCTGAAATGCCTATTACTTCTTTTGAAGGCAAACTGAAAAGCTACATACTGTAGGATTCCAGTGACAAGACTCTCTGGAATAGGCAAAGCTACGAAGACAGTAAAAAGATTGGTGATTGCCAAGGGGAGGGAAGATGGAGGCATGAATAGCGAGGGGCCTTTCAGGGTATTGAAACTCTTTAGTAGAATAGTATGATGATGGACTCCTGTCAGGATGCCTTTATCCCAAACCATACACGTAGCACCAAGAGGAAACTATGGTCTTTAGGTGATAACATGTCACTGTAGGTTCACTACATATGTATCAACCTGGTAGGGAGTGTTGACAATGGGAGAGGCCATACATGGTTAAAGTTATTTGGGAAATCTTCATTTCTGCTCCATCTTGCTTTGATCCTAAAAGTGTTCTAAAATATAAAGCCTACTGAAAAGAGGTAGAGATACTTGATATGCATAGCATACATCTGGAATGATACCCCAGCTACTCCTAACACTTTTTGCCTCAGAGAAGAGCACTTGGGAGACTGGGAAAAGAAGCCAGAGGGAAAGACTTCATTCCATGTTTGCATACGACTTTAATTTTTAACCATATTCATTTGGGTATTTTATTGAAAAACAACTTAAGCCACTTTCAGCTAAAAGACGTTCTGTTATTTAGAGAGTAGTCACACCTCTCATGCTGGATAATTCCTACTCAAAATGACTACGTATCAAATAAATCATGAGAAGATGCTTTCCAGATTAACACAACCAGGATACTTTGAGTTTATTTGCTCAATTCATGTTTAATTTGCCTAAAGAACAGCTCTACACCCTGAGCACAACAGTCATGCTGTTTAATAAACAATTTCATCAAGCCATTTAACTTTCAATGCATTTTGACTTTCTAGCTAATTATCCAAAAATGGTATAAATTACCCTCTGTGAATCAGCATCTTTTCTACAGCCAGTGTCCATTCTATCTTCTTTTGTTAATAGGTCCTCAAGCCCTAACAAAATTGGAGACCATCCCTCTCTATCCACATGGTAGAGGATAGGCACACACCAACTCAACATGGGCATTATCACCAGACTGGTCAAGAAGACTTGTCCCTCTTCCTGGCTTGGTAATTAGAACAGGAAGGGCATGTATCAATGCCTGACCAAGGAGAGGCAGCTTTGGAACTCTAGTTGAAACTTTTGGAAGAGAGAGTCTTCCCTGGGATCACTAGTCATAAAATCATTACAGGCCTGGAAATGCTGTGACCATCTTTGCCACTTTGAAATGATGGCCGAAATTGAGGCCAACACAAAGAAATCAAAACCTAGAATGGAGGGAGAAAGACTCTACAGTGGATTATGTCCTTTGATTCCCTCAGAGCCAGCCAAACTGTGGCTTCCCTCTTGGAATTCCAGATTATGCAGACAATAAATCCTATAAATTTATTTTTTCACCAAAATCTAAATGAGGCTGCAATTAAAAAAAAAATCTCATTCTTACTCCCAGTCATCACCACTTTCATTCTCCTAAACCACAACTCTATAAATAACAAATATTTTAAACCTCAAGAGGAATGATGTGTAAAAACTATAGAGGTCTGTAGGGTCTCAGCCTTTTAACTCAAAGAAGGTTTTAAGATAAAAAATGTGTTTCTTTCTCTCGGGAATTTCCGACCTCTATAGTCAAGGGTTTTCCTCCTACATTTTCTTCCTTTACACCATTTCAGTATCTGTATTAGTCAGACACCTCCAGTGAAAAAAGCAATGGGATGTTTATATAGAAAAACTTCTTTAAGGAATTGGCTCATGTGGTGGTACAAGTCAAGTCCAAAATTAGCCAGGTAGTCTGGCTCACTGGAGACCCAGTGAAGAGCTGAAGTCAGAGGCCATATGTCGGCAGAATTCCTTCTTGCTTTGGCTGCAATTCTGAAATGGCTGCCACTACCAGCTCCTCGGAGGACTTAAAAGGTTCTACTAATCAGCTGGGAACAGTTGTGCAGTGTAAACAACATGCTGTCTTTATAGCACAGTACACTCAAGTTTAACAATACTTTTGCTACAGGAGGTGATAGAAGGGAGAATCACCCCGAGGATCCTCCCACTCTGCCTAAAGTCTCTGCACTGCCCTGTAATGAATGAAATCCTGGATGTCTACCTTACATTTTCAAGTCTTACTTGTCTTTCTTCCCCCAAAATAGTTTTCTGACCTCAGCGTAAGCTTTTGAAATCTTTAGGCCTTGATGAAAACATTAAAGGACTAGGATGTCTAAGCTCTTCCAATCTGACTGCTCTCAGAACACAAGATTATTTTGGGGTTGAC